CCCAGCATGCCTTTGTTGGAGTCAGACAGGCACATGTCCTTCTCCGCACTGGGCAGCACGAAGCCTACCACAAAGACCTCGACGCCGTCAGCCATCAGCGCCAGACCCAGTACAAAGTAGAGTGTCCACTGGAAGCGGCCGTGGCCACACTCCCGGAGGATGGCTTCATACTGCTGGGCCAGTTCTTCCCGTTCTTTCCTCCGTTGTGCCTCCCCCCGGCCTCCGGGGGGGACCCTCCCCATCATCCAGGCCCCCCCTCACTCCAGCCAGGGGGGCCCCATCTGTCATCTGCTCGCCTTTGCCCCCAGACTCTGCCCGGGGGATGCCCTGATATTCCCCCTCGTAGATCTCATCATCCTCATCGTGGCCCTCAGTGGCATCGCTGGATGCGCCCCCTTCCTCCTCGTCCTGGGTCCCTTCCCCACGGTAATAGCCATCAGCGGGGGCAGGGAAGTCATCATCATCGTCATCCTCCTCAAAGCGGGAGTAGGATCTTCGGGAATATTCGTCCTGGACTCTGTCCAGGCCCTTCACCACCTTCTTGGCCGCATGCTTCTTGACTTCCTTGGCAATGTCTTTGGCCCCACGGATGAAAGCTGCCCGGTCTCGGAAGCCCTCTTCCATGACGGGGCTTTGGGGACGCTTCACCGCAGCTCCCCGTCTCCCTGCTTCTTACTCAGCTTTTGCTCAAGGACCCGTGGAGTCAGAAGGACCCGTCCCCCAGTTACTTAGATGAAGGCCGTTTGAGTATCTTTGGGCACAGAATAGGAGAAAATAGGCCCTGGCCAGTGAGTGTCCAGGAGAAAGGAGGGAAGGGAGCTTTGGCATCCACTTCGTTCAGTTGGGTGCATAGGGAAGGGAGAGGGGGAGCAGGGGGATGGGAAAGGGAGGGGGAGCCAGCTTGGGGGTGCTAAGCTGGGGAGCCAGGATAACGCAGAAAAGGCTGCCTACTTCTTTTCTAGGCACCTCTGGAGATCTAGAAAAGAGAAGAGGGAGAAAAAAGAGGTTGTGAGGCCTAAGATGGTGAAGAAGGCCAACCCAGAGCCCCCCCACCCCTGCAGCACATGGTCCAGAGATGGTCTGCTTGCTTCAAGCCCACACTCAGTAAAAAGAGATAACTATTGGGGCCAACTGCAGGTCATTCAGTATAAGCCCCCTTACCTTGACCTTGGAGACTAGTTCCATGGGATTTGCTCCCGAAACAGAATTCTTTTCCTGACCACCCCGCCCCCTACCCCCCACATCAATATGAGACCCCTTCCTTTACCACCAACCTGCAAAGAACAAAACAGGAACTAGGAGACATCAGGATTCCCTACTCTAGTCTGGTCTGCGCCTCTTGCTGAGGGCGCCGCTGGGGGAGATTGTGTAGAAGGAGCAGCAAGAAGTCCAACCTGTTGCCTTCAGTCCACTGATGGCGTCTGAAGGCGGAGCTTCCACAGTGCTCTCCTCGGGTCCCATGGTTACAGGCCTCCCAAGGAGGGGGTCTTCTCCCAACATAGCTCGGTGGGCAAAAGCTCTGAACCAGAGTCAGGTTTGGGTTTGACTTCCGGCTTCAGCACTTACTAGCTAAGTGACCATGGACACCCAAGCCTCAGTGCCTTTTACTTAAGGAGGGGAAAGTAAGGATTAAGTGACATAATGCATATAAGCTCCTTACCTTAGTACCTGGCACAGAAAAAGTGATGACTAAGTATTAGCTATTGCTCTTTGTGGCGATTGTGAGATGCGTTCTACTCCCTCACGAGACCCCAGAACAAAAGCCTCTTCTGGGTGCTGTCTAGGGTGAGCCGGAGAAAAGGGGTACAGGCAAGGAGAGAACAGGTCCAGTGCAAAGCACACAACAGTTATGCAACCGAACTTGAAATCCCAGCTCTGTTATTTACCTACCAACTGATCTTGGGCGGGCTACGGAACTTCCCTAAGCCTCGGTGTCTTTGTATTTAAATTGGAGATAATAATCTCTCTTTCTCCAAGTCCATGTGAAAATTGAATCTCAGACTAAATACTCTATGAATTAGTTTCCTTCCTTCCTATTAGATTGAAAAAAATGTGAAAGAAGCAGGAAACAGCCAGGGAAAAGCAAGGGGTCAAACTTAGATGCTATTGCCCAGTGTTCTCCCAATACAAGAATTCCAAAGACCCATCTGTCTGTGCTCAAACTAATTCCAGCAGCTGGGCCCACATTGTCTCCAACCAGACAAACAAGGAAAGACTCAAAAGAAGGAGACCTGGGTGATGGCTGGCTGCGGCTACCTTCCTTCAGGACATCATGCATGGGCCCTCTTTCCCGGGTGGGGGTGGGAATGGAGATGACTGATCACACACACTTCCAACATGGAGGAGTCTAAGGTCTATAGTCGCACCTCTTTCCTCCAGGGCCTCCCTTCCTAATCTCCCTTGATCTTTCCTGCTCCTCCTCCAGGAGTCAGGGGAAAAGGAGCCCACAAATACCGCATTGCGTAGGAGGCTGGTATAGAATGAAGGGGGCCTTGCGTCTTCCCCCCCAAAAGAAGACATCCTCCAGAGGGAGCCTTAGGAGGACCCTCCCACCCCCCACTTCCTTCATAAAAGCAGAGAAAGCAGAACTAGATTCTCATCAGAGATCATTCCCCTAAAAATATCCGGCCTCCTTCTGCTCTTACCCATCCAAGGCCTTCATTAAATGTCACACACACACACACACACACACACACACACACACACACACACACACTGGGAGAAGGGGGTAAGTAATGCTACATGGTTCAGAGAGAAGCATTGGCAAGCAGAGCCTTATCCCCTCAGGACAGATGGGAGCAGTGGACCACGATGACCAGAACCACTGACCCCTATGTCACCTTCTTTCCTGTGTGGCTCAAGGCCCAAACCATCTATGGAATCCCCTCACTGCGTGGCAATTTGGTGTCCTTTCTTTCCCAGCTACCATCTCCCCAGCCCCCAAACCCTGAAGGAGGCAGAGGGACCCACCAGGAGCCATACCCTATGTTTGTTAACACTATTTACCCCTGAGGGTACACGCAGGGTAGAGAGGCCCCGAGAGCCCAAGCCGGATGTGAAGGCTCAACAGCCAGCTCCCCCCGGGGCCAACAAGCCCAGGAGGTCAGGAAGGAGAGAAAGAAGACAAATTCTTTGAGCTGGTGAGAAAGTGGTGCTATTTTTAGCCCCCAAAGCAGCACAGGGTGGCTAAGCCTGGGGGAGAGAGAAGATTTGGAGACACGGAGGCAAAAGGAGACAAGATTCAGGGTTACACAGCCCTTTAAGGCTGACAGGGAAAATGTGCCCAGGTTCTCGGCAGAGGAGACGGGAGGACCACCGGGACTCCTAAGCAAATGCTGCCTTTCAGGATAACTCACTCCTCCCTGGATAAGAGGAGCGCCCAGAAGCCCCCCACTCCCAATCAAAGCCCCTGCCTTTGGGAACCACCCGGATCCCCCAGCCCTCCCTAGCTCAGGTGACAAGGTCATTTAGAAGCAGTCACTTATCAAAACATCCACGGAGGAGGAGATGAGGTATGCTGAGGGAGTAGGTAGGTGCTGGAGCACCTCTCTTGGTTCCAGCTGGGTGATTGAGCCTCAGCCCCCACCCCAGAGCAGCCAAAGCTGCACCTCTCACCCCTACATCATACCCCAGGGTTCCCAAGATGGAGCATTCACAGGTTCTTCTGAGGGGGAAAAAAGGTGTCAGCTGAGAATGCACACGGAGGAATACGGAGGGCAGAGGCAGCGACGCAGGAAGAGACCTCCACGCCCGGGCAGAGAGGCCGCCCCTACCCGCGTTTGCGGCGACCCCCGCCCCCACCCGCCTCCGCTCTGCTGTAAGGAACCAGCCCCTATGATTGCCTGAACAGATTCTCAGCGCCTCCCCTCACCCTTGGTCCTGCTGCTGGACAAGTGTCCATCATCACTCAATAGCCCTTCCCCCCACCACGGGCCAACTGCCTCCAGAGCCATCATCCGTGCCCCCAATCCTGATGGTCTGGTGGCTTACCACCTCTATCTACCCAGCATTTCCGTTCTTCACCCCCCTTCCCTCCCTCCTTCACCTGCCCTTCCAACACTGCCCCCCTCCAAGTCCAGTCCAGCAGACTGAGGTAGCATCCATTCTCAGCCAAGGTCATTTATCATTCTTCGGGGGGAGGGACGGGAAGGGGGGTCCGCCAAGGTGAGCAGGGGATTGGAGTTTGAGGGAACCCTATTCCACCTAACAACCCCCCACCTCCCCGACCCCGTCAATATCTGAGGAGGGGAGGAGGGTAGCAGGGACTTGGCTAAGGTAGAGAAAAACACCCCTCACACACACACACACACACACACACACACACACACACAGANCAAGCATTCGGAGCCTGCCAATCTTGTCCATGAGCAGGGCAGACACGATATTACCCGGGAGCACAGCCAGCGTCCCCAGGAAGCTGACGAAGTACACCATGTAGGCACCCTCGCCCGTCCCCGTCACGTCTAGTGGGCAGCCCTCCTTGTTGTGCAGGAACGTGCTGTTCACCAGACGGCTGTTCACAAACTTGTACTCAAACAGGTCTGGGGTGAAGGCCAAGACAGGCGGGCAGTCAGGTCAACTGAGAGAGGGAGGCTGCTACTGCTTACGGCTCAGGGCTCTACCTTCGCAGGGAGGGGGGGTGTTTTAGCAGTGGGGGCTCTCAGAATCGTTCAGGGCTCTCTCATTGCAAAACATCAAATTACATCACCATAGGAACGGGAAATCTTTACAGCAGAAAATATCATAGTCTATCAAATGAAACAGTGTAACAGGCTGTTTCCAAGTTTTCTCATTAATAGTCTGCTTCCTGTTTTGTTTTTTCTCCTCCCTGCTGACTACAAGCAATAGCATTGCCATGGTTTAGGAAAAATTACTGAGAAAAATACTTTAAATCATTGAAAAGTCCTATCCATTATTTTTTCCTGCAAGGTGGGAAAAGCTCATGCAGTACATCATTTGGAGGTGGGAAACCCCCTCCTATGCCAGCATTTCATGAGCATGGAGTCTGAGAATCACTGTTAAAGAAGTGGATAATGCAATATTCCCAATCTTTTCCCCACCAAACATCCCTTTTATTACTTTTCCTAAGGAGCCTGTTTTGAATGGTTTTTGCCCCTTCAAAAGTGCATTCATACCACTGCATTGAGTTGTTTTAATTCCAGGCAAAGAAACGTGATATTTTTGTCAGATGTTCTGTCAATTTCAATTTCCATTAGGTTTTTGGAATTAACTGGTGGTAGCTAGAGGGCCCCACACCACCTTCCCCCAAAGCTCCCAAGAGCTCCGCGTGAGAGCCCTGGGCCAGGGACCCCTCCTCATGGTCCACCCAACCCCGGGGTCTGACAGCCAGCAGCCACTCCACTCCCTTACCCGTGTTGTAGAATACAGTGTTGATGAATGTGCAGTTGCGGAAAAACGTGTTGCTGGAGGTGACATCCTCAAAGTAACACTCCTCAAACAGGGAATCCTCAAAGGACACCGACTTCAGACGCAGCCCGATGAACCTGGAAGGCCAGGATGACACAGGTCCTTCCCGTCATCCTCACCCCCTCCTCCAAGGCCCTGCCTTCCGTGAGGTCACAGGACGCTGTGGCACTGAGCAGAGACCACAGGTCCTTGCCCCAAAGTACTTGTCTCAAAGCTCCCAGACTCATAAAAGAGACACGGGGTCTAAGGGATGGGAAGAGAGGAGCCAAAAGGTCCACACGTACTTGTCATTGAAGTACTGTCCCCCTCGATGGATCTGATTCTCCAGGGTGAAGTTAAAAGTCACGTGCTCCACACGCTCCCCGGGGAACACTTTGGTGCGGGCTGCGTAGTCCACCGCCTGGAGATGGCGGATGGTGTCGGGAAACCAGACAGTCAGGCCATAGTAGCTGAGGAGCCAAGGGCGATGCAATCAGGGCTCAGGGTCTGGCCCCGGGCGGTCCAGAGTGAGGGGGAGCTTGCAGATCAGCCCATGTCAGGACCTCTTTCACCTCTCCAGCCTCGTCCGTCCCTCACCAATTGCTGTGGTCCTTCTAACCCTTCCACCGTACTCTTTATCTCACAAGCATTTGCTCTTCCCTCCGCCTAAAACACTTTCCTCTTCCCACCCTCAGCCTGACTCCCATTCCTCCTCCAGGACTCAGATCCCCACCCCACCCCAAATCTGGGCTGGGAAGCCCCTCTCCTGAGCTCCCAGAGCACTTTGTCCTTCCCCCACGTGGCACGCATCACACTGCTTTATAGCTGGTTTTGTGTAGCTCCCTGGCCAAGATGGAAACCCCCTGAGGACTGGGGCCACATCTATTTCAGCCCAGCACAGTGCCTGGCACACAAGAGAGGCTTAATACCGCTCAGCTTGTAGTACAAGCTTGTTGGATTAGTGAATGGAGCAGAGGAGCAGGGTGCAGGATCGGAGGGGGTCTGGACAGCGCCTTCCCTCATGATTCGCCCCCATTCGTTTCCATTTTCTCCACCTGTCTCCCAACCCACACACCATCACGTCCACCACATACCACCCGCCCCACCCACCTCCTCACCTGAACGACATGGTGAACCACACACCCATCATCATCAGAGTGATGCGTCGATATTCTGGACCAAAACAGGAGAGGAAATTCCCCCAAACCTAGGTGGAGGGGAACAAAGTCAGACAGCGGCTGCCCTGACTTCTAGCACCCTCAGCTCCCCATGTTTCTGCCTTAACCACCTCCCTTCAGTTCAACCACCACCCCACACACACAGGCTCGAGCCCTGCCCTCCTGTCCACCTCTCCTCCGCCCTTCTCTCTCGCCACCATCCAATCCACCGTTACCTGCCCCCCCAGGCTCAAGGCTCGGACCCCCCAGCGCTGGTACCAGGTCCCTGTGTCTGACTGGATCTCAATCAGCTCATCCTCCTGATGGATCGTCTTAATGTGGGTTACCTGAGGTCAAGAGAAGGGGTGTTGAGTCACTTAGTCTGTACCTCCCAGCCCCCTCCAGGTGCCTCACTTTCTCCTTCAGCAGCAAACTGGGAGGCAGGCTATACCCTGAGAGATCTTGTTGAGGGAAGTGTGGTTAGAGATGCTAGGAAAGTGGGGAGTTATCCGGAGAGGGGCCAGGAGGGGGCTGGGGTGCACCAGCTTGCAGGAGCGAGGCGGGGGAGCGTAGTGACTTACCGAGAAGACTCGCTCAGGATGCCCCTTGGCTCGCATGTTGGTGTCATGGACTTGCTTCAGCACCATCCAGGCCTCGTCATGCTTCCCATTCTAGAGCCACAGACAGAACCCCCACTTTCAGGTTAGCCCTTCCCTGACCCAGGGTTAGAGACCCCTGACCTCCAACTTGGAGTCACAGAACACTAAAAGGCCCTCACCCCAACCCCTGACCTATGGGCACATCCATCACCCACTTTGAGAGAGCCCTAAGTGGGGGTACAGCAAAATATAATCAGACTTGGGCAAGAGTGGGGGGAGTCCAGAGGACAAATACAAGCATAGGTCCTAGGGATCCCCTGGTACAATGGAAAGAGAAAACTGAAAACAAGGCAAATGATGGCTGTGAGCAAGTGTGTAGTCAGAGAAGGGGCAGCATCGTAACGTGGGCTGGACCAAAATATAGTTGGAGGGGGAAGTGGGAGAGTAAAACCTCTGGAGCTGTAAAATCAGGGCCAGGGCCCCTGCCTATAAAATTTTAAGCCACCCATGCTTGAGCAGGTCCCCTGGTTTCTCCACCCACAAAACCTTTCTGGAGTTTCATTCCAAACAAAAGAAGTAAGATAAAGTCCCACAGAGAACAGACCCTGTGAGGAAGGAAGGCAGCCATATAGGATCGAACCCAGCCCCCAGTGGTGTTTGAACACAGGAGCCCCTGCTGCCCTCCCCTGAGCCCAGCCCCAACCCCGTCACCTCCAGGAAGAAGCGGGGACTCTCAGGCTGTGTGGTCAGAGCCCCGATGGCAAACACAGAAGGAAAGGCGCAGACGAGGACAAACACCCTCCAGCTGTGAAACTGGTAGGCAGACCCCATCTGAAAGCTCCACCCTGCCAGGGACAGTCACAGAGTCAGCAGAGAGGCCACTGGCTGGGGGTTCCCACCACTGGGAGCCCAGGGCAGTCTGGGGGCGCTCCCTGGGGGCTGCTCACCGTAGTGGGGGATGATGGCCCAGGCCATAGCAGCTGCGTACACCCCACCAATCATCCAGAACATGCAGAGCCAGCTCAGGTGCTCCCCACGTTTCTCCTGGGCTAGGAACTCCGAGAAATAGGAGAAGACAATGGGGATGGACCCTCCGATCCTAGAGGGCGTGCAAGAATTCAGCATTGGAAAACGGCCATGTTCCTGATCCCCTGCCCCATTGCTTTGGACCCCCAAACCCCTTTCACCTTCCAGACCTTTTTCAAGGCTCCTTCTCAGACTTACTGCCCTACAAGCTCACCACCAGCCAGCCATCAGGCGCCCATCCCTGGGACCCTGGGAACCAGCCAGGCAGGTCTCAGGGAAAGGGAAGGGCAAACATTGAATCTTGAAGACACTTCAGAGTTGAAGGGAGGGAAGATAATTTACAGAAAATGGGAAATTGGCCTCCAAAAGTAGAGTCTGAGGGCAGGTATGTGGGAACAGGCCAGAAAAAAGCTTGGAGACAAGGAGGGAGTACATTCAGGTAGAAGTACAGGAGTGGGGGCGGAGGTCAAGGTTCAGAGTTCAGGCAGTTGTGGGTATTAGTAAGGTCTGCTGTGAAATGCAGGAAATAAGGAGACTCTGGGAAGGGGATAACTCGAGAGTCCACAGGTGCCCAGAGGTGAGGCTGAGACCCACCAGGCCTCTTCATGGAGCCAGGCTCAGGATGGAACTAAGGGGTGGGGTGGATCGACCATGGAACGGCATTCTGGGCGGGCAGCAGACAGGTCCTGGACAGGGAGAAGCTGGCCTGAAGATGGTGGGAGGGGCAAAGGATTCATTCCACTTGTACATACTTGAGGTGCATCTGGTGGGCCTGGCACTGTGCGGGGCCCGAGAGACATAACAGTGACCAAAGCACAGTCCTACCCTCCAGAGCCTCAGGTCGCAGACACTCACCCAACCCCAGAAAGGAGGCGGCAGAAGAGGAAAGTGCCGTAACCCTGGACGAAAGATGAGAAAAAGGCGAAGACGCTGTTGACGGAGAGCGAGATGAGCAGACATTGTCTCCGACCCAGACGATCAGCCAGCCCTCCCCAGAGGAAGGCTCCCACCATCATGCCCAGGTACACGATGAGGCCTGGACAGAGGAAAAGAGGCAGGTGGGGGATGAGCAAACACTCTTCCGTTCATTAAATGAGCTGAAAAAGCAGCAGATGGATCAAGGATCTGAAGGACTTCTAGAAGCTCGGTCTACCTAGAGATGAGAGCAAGTGAGAGAAGCTGAATTGTGTGAGCAGAGATGGAAGGCGATCTCTGCAGGCCGGGGGTTTAAAGGCGGGACTACAGATATGCGAGAACCCCAGAATCCTTGCTTCCTCTCCCTCTTGCTCTTGCTTCTCACTCTCTGGCTGGCTGTCACATGCACACACAACACCCCCACCTCTGGCTTGCCTGGAATGAGGAATGAATGGCCTAGACTCCCAGGCTCTCCCAGGGTCCCCCCTACCCTCCCTGCCTTGACACCTTCAAAGCAGCAGGAAATGTTTCATGTCCCCTGGGAAACAGCTCCAGTTCTTCACGCCTCCCAGGAAATCCTCCCCACAAAACCCATCCTTCACTCCTTGCAGCTCCCATACGCCTGATCATAAGCTTTCCTGTTTCTTCTTTCATAAATTCAGTGTTGGAATTCATCTTGAAAATCATCTACTCCAAACTCAACATTTTACCCGTGCCCACGGCCAAGCCCCAGGGAAAAGGGACCTGCCCAAATCATGGCAGCTTGGTGGCAGATCAAGACCAAGATCCTTTCTGAGTGAGTCTAGGGGTTTCGTCCCTCGGGGGCCCCATCAGGAAGAGCCATCGAGAGAGATACTCGCTGGCCCCTGAACTCTCCCAAGGCTGATCAAAAGCAAGTGTGCCCAGCTACTCTGGCTAAAGGCAGGCCCCGATTCTTCCCCAACCCCCACGACCCCAAAAGGACCCTCCCATTTAACCCAGGGAGCTTGCATGCTGACTTCCTTTTGCCCCAATCAGGGGAAGGGGGCAGGAACCCAAGAGGGAGGCTCTGAAGAAACATTAAATGGGGTCCCTCCTCACATAGCCACCTTCTGCGGACCACCATCCAACCACCGGCCCAAGCCCCAGCCCAGCTGTCGTCCCCCAGGCCCCTCTTGCACAAACAACCTCACTGTGACCCAGCCCCAAGAGGAGGGAATGTGAGGGGGCACCGTGCAGAGGAACCCTGAGCCCTCTGGAGACATCTTGAGAGCAGGGTCCCTGGGAGCCCCGCAAGGAGGGCAGGAGTTCTCAGGAGCAGGGCTGTCTCCAGAGTTTGGGGCAGGACGGGGCTGAGTGCCTCCGATGTGTCTTACCCAGCATGCCTTTGTTGGAGTCAGACAGGCACATGTCCTTCTCCGCACTGGGCAGCACGAAGCCTACCACAAAGACCTCGACGCCGTCAGCCAT